ACATAGTCAGTGATGTTTTAAGTGAACATAAACAGACAGGACCACTAAAAATAAAAATCAGACCACTACAGCCTATCCCAACTGATATACTGTATGTCCATCTGGCCATAGAGAAAAGAGTGTGATTAAAGACTCAAAGACTGAGCATTTTAGAAAACTGGGGACAAGACACAAAATTGTGAAGGTATGATTAAACAAACTGTGCTGTAGCTTTATTGTGCCCACACACAGCCCCATACTAAGCCTCTGTAGATCATTCATCTTAATGAAAACACTGCTAGGATACTCTAAATCCGACATACACGCCAATAAAAATTCCTCTCAGTCTTTCTGCAGAACACCAAGACAGAAAGAGAAACAAAGAAATGGAGAGACAAAGAGCGAAACAGAAAGGGAGACTGTGCACAGCTGTAACTTATACTGAATTATCTACTCTGTTACTTTCTGTTTACAGGCATTCTTGGCTTCGGCAGTATTGTTTGCAATTAAATCTAATTTCAATTTGCACTAAACTGATAGAGTCATCTAGTGTTGAGCTGATGGGCATCCACACATTCACAAAGCTATTCTGACACTGCTGAATTTGTCGTCTACGATGCAGTCTTTATTCAGAAAGTGCATGTTGTTTGGTTCGTAAAGGATGCACACCACACTGCTCTCAATGTTTGGGATTCATGCTGCGAGCAGCAGCGAGACACATCTCGGCTAATTAATAAAAGACACTGACATCCTTTCTATGACGAAAATACATCTAAACAGGGTCCAAGTTCTTTAAATGCTCCTATATGCCAGCATGCCAGAGAGTGATTGAGATAATGACTAATGCATGCATAGTGCATGGATCACTCTGATGAGAGCAGAATAATGATGACAATGATGGTAATGTGATTATGTCGAATAAATAAATACTTGCTTCCTGTGGTGTATGAGGCAGGGGGGCAACGCTATGCTGTTACTGTTAGAGATAAATATGTTGTTAAAGCACAATGAGAATCAAACGCATGATCACATGAAAGGACAAATAATCCAGGAAAAAGAGCTCTAAATGGAAGTTTACTTTCAAATGGAACTTTCAATGATTATGATAACAGGTGTAACTCAATATAAAAAGCTAACAATTCACAATTTAGTTTGTGAACATTCTGTGTACAATAGATGAAAAATGGCAATAAAGTTTGACAGAACATG